GTGAAAGTTCTTCATTTAAAGGGCTGATTCATATTCTGCGTTCTGCCTAAAATGCAGCCTTCTGATCCAGAGTCCATTTGCACTGGGAGACCACCACCCATCCCACCCAGTTTCTGCCAAGCCAGGGGCACGGCAGAGGGGAAAGAGGCATGATGGAGCTGTGGCAAGAGCCAGCAATCTCGACAGAGTGGCCTTGCTGTGCACACAACATGCTGTGGGGTCTTCTGCCCTGTCTGCTCTCCCCCCTGTGAGGAGAGAAGCTACCAGCGCAGATAGAATACATGGCATAGAACCGCATCTTAGTATACACCCAGCACTTGCTGATTTTTAAGAGCCAGTTCCTGTGACTGCCCTGCTCCTCATTGGCCACCTGCCATTCCCTGCTCGTTGTAATCCGTGTGCATGGGCATGTGCATCTTTCATCCTGAGCCAGGACTGCCTTTGTGTCACCACCACAGACCTGAAAAGAAAAGGCAAGCATATATTAGGCAAAACAGATAGCAGGAGCAGGAACTAGTGAGTGGTCTTGAGGCTTGGCCCTTTCTTGTGCCCCAGCTGTAGAATGGCCTTTCAGCTGCTGTAGACACAGTCAGGAAATGGTTGTCCTGGTTTTTCAGTTGGCTCCTTAGGCCCAGCTCTAATTAGTTTTTTAGTGTAGTTGGACAGAGATTCTTCACAGTCCTCTTGGCACGGCCCATTGTTAGCCCTTGGCTTGATTCCCCTTCACATCCCTTCTCTGCCTGCCAGGAGAGATTTAATCGTTTCCTAGTGGACTTCATTGGCCCTGAAATCATTTCTAGCAAAACATTAGTAGCCGCTTTTCTGATGCCTGCCCTTTCTCTCAGGAGGCCTTGCTGTCTTGAAATCCCCAGAGATGAAAACTTCCAGCATCCGTGCATTTGAAGAAGACGGAACTTAAATGATAGGCAGATCAAGAAGGATCTGTATCATCCATTACATAATACAAGCACAATTAGCTTCAAAGCTGTCACAGACTTGTTGCTCAGTGCTCAGCTTTTCAATCGTGCAGTGCAAGCTGGAGCTCTGCAGCACTGTGGCTTATGGAAAGTGGGTACACATTATGTCACATGAAATTGGCTGAGTAAACAGGCTGTAAGCTATGCCCGCGTGCAGCACAAAGTGCGCCAGGGGACATCTCAGAAAACACTAAACTGGGGAGCCACACAGCAGGGAGAAGGGAGCATAACTTTCATATTTAATATGCCACTGGCATAGTGGAAAGACTGATCTTTGTGGAGGCTGGTTTACTTTAAATCAACTGTTGTGGATCAAATTATCCTGCTGGAGATCTTAGGGTAGCCAAACCGCAGGACAATAAGGAGCAACAAAGGACAAGGAGGAAGACAGACTTATCAGTCTTCCTTATCACCTCCAGCAAATAAATGTTCGCGCGCGCGTGTGTGTGTGTGCACGCGCACACACATCTGTAGTGGTCAGAGAGAGTGGATGTAAAATGCAACCTTCAGCATCTTTCATGAATGTTCTCAGCTTTCCACTTGCAAATGTAAAGCAATCAGTGGTTCTTCCAGCAGAATCCAGCACATTGCACTTTGGGCTCTCCAGGTTTCAGTGCTGTGGAAACTGAACCCAGAATTCAGAACATTTGTTTCAGACTCAATCCCTTACAAGACTAAGATTGGAAGGTATATATTTCTGTCCCCAGGCTATTAATTGTGGCATCTTATTAACTTTGCCTTTCCCTAGCTCATCCTTTCCTGAAACTGTCCTTGAGGAGTAGAAAGGCTTGATATAACTTGTTAGAGAAAATAAAATCTTGTCCTCCCACAACATTTATCCTGTTTCTTCTGTCACTTAATTCAAGCACCTGAGAACCAATTCTTTGGTTTGGTGTACCTCAGTTCTCCTCCTCTTTTGTCCTGTCCCGCCAGTGGTGAAAGGTGGCCAGGGTTTAGGGGGATTCAGCACCCACACCTTTTTGTTAGCAGGAACACTGGTGTCACCTGCTTTGTTTCCTCTTAGTTTAGCTGCAGCCCTCAGAGTAGCTAGGGAGAGATCAATTTTGCCAGCAACAATATATTGTTCCCTGTTGTAATGCAAAGTACATTGGGGTGCCTTGGTTTTGAATGGGCAATTAGGGTGTATTAGCTTTTCAAAAGACCTGTTCCTGGTGGAGTTGAAAACTGCTAGAAGTGGTTTCTTGATACGGATCAACACATTTTTGGACTTGGGGCGTAGCTACAAGTACTGGCATGAGGAGTGCTTGCACTTAAGAGTGAACCACTATACCACTGTATTGATGTTGCTTAAAAAGAGGCCAAGGTATGTAATGGTCATATACTTAGGTAAGAGAATAGAAATAATAACAAGGTAAGTGCCCATTTGTGGAGATGTCATATTGAGAGAGAGCTTTTGACCAACAGTCAAATTTTGGACCATATGAGGGAAAACCCTTCTTTTTATTCAGGAATTATGAACACATAGAAGAAGCCTCTGTTCATTTATTAAACCATTAATAAAAAGGTGACAGGCTTCTATCGAAGATGAAGACTGCCAAGATGCAGCACAGGATGTATGCCTATAAAGAAAATGAGATAAGAACATGTCCCTGAAGCTGATAAATGTGCAAGACATCTGCAACATTTCAAGCTTTTCTTATCTTTGATTGCACTGAATGATTAAGATAGAAACACCTCCTTAAAAATCATTCTGCAGTGACAGAGCAACCTTAGAGTGTAGCAGACAGCAGGTAAAAGACAGAATGATTCAAGCCCACCACTGCGGTGAAGTAATGCATTTATCTAAAGCCAAACTTTATTAGGAAAAAATATAGATGTATCAAAAGTTAATGTGGCCTGCAAGGTGAAGGATAAGTTTGAGAGACTTCGGAGAGTGGGTACAGTGAAAGCTGCCCTGCACCTCATATTTTTCCTGCACGGAGAGTAAAAAAACTGAAAGTAAGGAAATAGGTATCTGTAGTCCTGTGCCCCATCACCTGGACCAGTGTTCTTGTGGCAAAACAACCCTTCACGCCCATGCGCGTGTATTCCTAGCTCTCTCAGGTTTGTTTATTTTTCATCTTATTTGTCTCATCTGTGTGGGTGTAGGCAGTCATTTGCTTATGTCCACTACAGGAGTGCTTTTGGATTAATCCACATTTGAAGACATGAGCAGAAAGAAAATGTTTTTAATCATTGAACATAATAGTGCTGCTCAATGTAGATTTGAGTGTGTAGTCTCTGAAGAGGGGAGAGGCATTGAACTCCCCATTCTCTACTGCCAAGGGTTCAGCAAAACTCATTCACCAGCCTCACTCACTCTGTTGTTGTAACCCTTGGATACTATGAGTTGAATTTGGAAGTGTCTTCAGCTGGCAAAAGGTGACTTCGGCTAACAGAAGAGCTGTTTCCTTGTGTGAAAAAAGAAGCAAGATCCACAGAATCCATGGGTGCCACAGAATGGTTAACCAAAAACAGATAACCATGAATGTGCGTGATTTTTAACAGTTCCCCTTTAACAGCTTTTTCTAAATTATCAACAGATTAGAGTTTACATAGGTATCTAAAGATTGCACAGTAAGCATCAATAAACATCACAAATTCAGTATTTTCTAGCACTTGTCCTGAGACAGAAGTATGATCCCAGTGCCTGGATGTTCATGATTATTCATGATTTTTACATGGGATGTCAACAAAAATATGCCTGTGAACAGAGAGGCTGACTGTGAATTGATAGTGGTCTGGAAGGGATTATGTGGGGGATCTAAGATAGCTGCCACTTTCTACAGATGGAAGCTGACTAACTTTCATAAAGAAATGCCACTGGGGCATTTCAGCAGTGAATCTAACAAGTAGGAATGGTAGTGCCAGCATAAAGCGTCATATAATCTCGTACGCAGTGTCTTCTGGCACAAGATGCATGCGAATCTTTTGCCAGCTCCTTGGAACAGCTTGTAGAACATCACCAGGACGTTGGAGAGGGGGCCTGTCCACACTGCTCAATGGATTCTAAGGTTTCATTTTGAGTTTGGAAGAAGAGAGAAGGAGGGAGGTGCCCTGCTCATGACATTGGCTAAAATTGCTCCTGCTGGTGTATCTTTCAGTCCAACCCAGCTCTCTCTATCAGTGGATTGACTTCCCATGATTCTGTAATCCATTAATCTGGCAGCTTCTTGTCACATGTGCCCTGACCTGAATTAGACAACTGTTTGTGCATTTCAGCACCACCCCATCACTGAATTTGCAATACCAGAAACTGTTTAATTTCTTTTTCTGTTCTGGTTACTGATCTCACTGGTTTGGCTGGACCCATCCATTCCCACCCTTGCAGTAAACCCCAGATGGTGTAGATTTTGAGATTTTGGGCAGTTCCCAAAACAGTGATAGCCTCTTCCTTTCACCTGCGGACTGCTGCTCTTACAAGATGAAGGCTAGTCTTCAAACTCGACCAACATTTCCAAATAGTCAGTGCAGCGTTGTTGTCGGGGGTTCGCCCTGTGCTCCAACAGTTTGTGTTATGTGTAGGCTTCTCTGTGGCATCTTGATCCATGAAGAGATTTTTCTGCTCACTGGATGCCTCTGAAAGCCTTTGCCCCCAGCACCAGGAGGTATATTGATAGCTCTGTCTCTCCCTCTCCTGAGAGCAGTCAGCATGCAGTGCTGCGTCTACTTATAAGTGCCCCAGAGATGACTGTAACCTCATATTGATCAGCTGATTGAAGATAAATGACAGAGCTGCTGGTATTGCAGATTACATCATTAACATGGTCAGTAAACCATGAATTGTTCAATAAGGCGTTTATCTTTTTTCATTTTATTCTGCTCTTTTATCATTTTTATGATAAGGAACAGTTACACACACTAATCAGGAGGATCCGTTTTAGGAGAGAGCAGACATGGGCAAGTGTGCCAGTGTCAGAACTAAGTGAAATCTAATGGCTTCAAGATACTTAGTAAATGTTTTTTAGCTGAAGAAAAATATAGACTTCACTGATCATTTTTCTTACTCTGTTTCTCTCTTAGTTTCCCTTTGCTTCGTATTTAATGGAAGCAGTGCAGGAAAAACTAAATGAGCAGAAGAAGCTGGCAGAAGAATACAGTTCTCTCATGAAACAAATGATCTAGGGGTGCTGCTGAGCCGACTTTTCAAAGAGAGGAAGGAAGAGGCCCTTCGGTGCACTGCGACCCTGTTCATGATACTGGCGTGATGCAGCCCTCCCCAATCTGGTGCCCTCAAGATACCTTGAAAAACAGCTGGGGCAAAGCTGGGGGAAGCAGTGTAAGCATTTGGCACAGGAATTGCTTTCAAGCAGGTGGCTGTTTTTGCTTATGAATCCTACCTTTTATGTCCAGAACACTAATTGTGAGGGATCATGGGAGTTGTAGGCCAAAACATCTGGTGACCCACAAATTTGCAATGCCTGTCTTAAAGCATTGAAAATGGAAATGTCCCATTAGAAAGGCTTAAGCAAGAAAGAAAATGTGGACTTAGTTGTTTTAGAGGCTGTATTAAAGAAGAACCACTTGTGTTCAACTCATGACAAACCTCAGAAACTTATTTTCATGCACAACTACTGTTCATTATAATGAGGTGAGCACAGAAGAATGTGCTAGCAGGTTGTCATCTGCGCACAAATGCAGACATGTTCATCCTGTTGTCATTCTTTCAGCTTTCTGGAACCTTACTTGTTGTCTGGCAGGGGAGGGAGGACATTATCATTAATATGATTTGCAATTTTAACTTTATAATGCAAAATATTATCAAAAAGAAAAGTGTGAAATACAAGCAATGGCTTAGCATCCATGAAGCAGCCATGCACTTTTTAACTGTGAAAAAGTAATAAGTATGTGTTATATTTAATGATATGTAAGAAATATGTCCCCCAAATAAAGGATGTTGAGTTTTTCTTTTCAGTGGGAAGGGCCCGAAATATGTGTGCAAGTCCATGTTTCTTTTGCTATTTTAAAAATTGCTCTTGTTGTTCTTGACTTAGTTTGCACAACGTGCTAAGCCATGGTGGCTTAGCTGCCACAGCAGCTTAGTGTGTGGTCAGAGTCTGGGGTGATGGTATCAAGGCAGCATCAGTGTGGCTTATAGGGCATAGCTTGTTGTAGGGTTTGCATCCTCCTCCTTGGCTTGCCACGCTGTCCAAACCCAGATGAAACAACTCGCTGGGAGAGCAAGTGCCTGCAAGGTGGCCAGTGCCACTGACACCCTGTAGGTGACTTGAGGGACCGGCTGGCAGCAGGTAGCGGCTCATTCCCTGCTCCCCATGCTGGCTGCTACAGCCAGTGAGGGACTCACATTCTCCTGGGCCTACCCCTGGGAAGAGAGGAGTAGGTACTTCTGGCCCCTTCTCTGCCCAGCCGTCTGGCACAAACAAGCCACACTATCTGACTTCCTGCAGAGTGTGGCTTGCTCTGTTTTGTGAACTTTGCCTCCTTTCCCATATGTGTTTTTTAAAAAAAGAATCATAGGGGATATGCTTGGGAAGACAGTAGAAAGCTCTAGCAGAAAGTAGATTCTGAATAAAACACAGGAGGGAAAGCCAACTGAAGTTACACTGCACAATCACAGTTGCACAAGCAGCTGTGCATTCACTTTCACAGCTCATTGCTGAACTGGTTGTACATCACATTTGCACAAGCATAATGTACAACAAGTTGCACAAGGGAAAGATTTGACACAGCTCCACCAGCACTATATCTGTTTGCAGAATGACATGACTGGGTGCTGCCTCTGGGGATAACTTAAGTTATATAACACATGCATATTAGTTTGATGTTTTTATAGTTTCTCTGTAACTTTAAACATTAATATTTATTTTATGTATTTATTTAAAAGATTTATATCCTGCCCTATACACAAAAGCATCTCAGGGCACCTTATGTATAACTCTATAACATTAATCATTATAACATTAAAAGCTTTCCCTTTTCCCCATCCCCATTCAGATAATATTGCATGGAGGTACCATTCCGTGTGAGTGGCATCCACATTTGCATAGTTCTTTCCCCTCGTGTAAAAAAAATGACCAGGGAAGATCACCTGGACTTTTACAAGGCTGTATACCATGAGATTACTTGCTTGACAGAGCTGCTTAAAATTTGGTATTACAGTATCTTGCAGCAATATTCTCCATTTTGTTTCCACAGTCTACCTTTTGTATGCCACCTTCCTTTGATGTGTTACAGCCTGGCATTTTTTAAAAAAATAACTGGCAGTGTTAGCACAACATTGTAATGGTGCAAAGTAAGGTAGCACAAATTTAGGCCATGCCTAAATAAGCTCTCATGTAAGTCAGTGCTTCCACAGACCGGGAAATAGCCAGATGGACTCCTCCTGTGTGCAATTTTCAGTGCCACGTGATTTCAGACTGAATCCACCTATTTCTGGAAGGCTCCCAAGTTTGTTGCAGAGTATATTTAAACAAACAGTTCCACACTCAGCTCATTGCTCCGAGGCACACAAGTTGAGTGTTGGTCTAATCAAACCAGAGAACCGTTTTCTACACATTTGCTGTGTTTCTCACATGCCTCTTTGCAAATTTCAAACAGTCTCTGCTATGGATTTGTGTCAGCAACAGATTTCTTCTTGCCACTCTTCCATGAAGCCCAGCTTTGTGGATCATCCAAGTGACGGTTGTTCCATGGATGGTTTCTCTCATCTCAGCTGTGGAACTTTTCGGCTTGCCCAGAGTTTCCTATGGCCTCTTGGTTGCTCCTGTGACTTATTATTATTATTATTATTATTATTATTATTATTATTATTATTATTATTATTATAACATTTCTATGCTGCCCCTTGCCGAAACCTCGGGGTGGCTTACAACACAATAAAATACGTTGAAATACAATAGAACATAATAAATTACCATTAAATACAAAAATACAAAAAATACACTGAGTTATAAATATAAAATTAAAATTATCAGTATAAAATAAGTAAATAAAAGTATAGGAGGAGAAAAGAGAAGGAAGAAGAAGTTGTCCTGGCCAGATCATATGTTTTAACAATTAAAATGATGTTTAAATAAAAAGGTCTTTACCTGGCGCCGAAAAACCAGTAACGACGGTGCCAGGCGGACCTCTTTGGGGAGTGAGTTCCATAGGTTGGGCGCCACCGCAGAGAAAGCCCTTCTCTAATGCCATCGTTACCCAGTCACTGAGCTGTGTTGTGTGACCTTCTCATAGCAGAGCTGTGGTTGAGCCAAATTCTTTCCATTTTGTGATAATGGATTTATTTGTTTTCTCAGGGGTCTTCATAGTTTGGGAATTTTTCATAACTCAGCTGATTGGTGCTTATGCACAACAACATCCCAGCTTTCCCTTGGAATCTCCTTAGTCTTCATAATGCTGTTTGTTTGGATACGATCTCCAGAAAACTCAGGGATTTTGGAGGCAGGTGCATTTAATCTGAGTCTGAGTGGCACTGGAATTGCATACAGGGAGCCTCCATTCAACTACTTGCACTGGCTTCTGGAAATACTGGGCTGCATTTAGACATGTCACAGTAAAATGGATGAATGCTTATGCCACAAACGAGTTCCATTTGCTTTTGCTTTACTTAACCTTTGTGCTATAATAAAAATACTTTGCATCTTCACAATGTTAAGAATCTTGTGTACATCAAGTGATAACAATGCTAATTTACTCCATTACAATTCCAGGTTGTAACACAACAAAATAGTTAAATGAGGGTGTATACTTCTGTAATTTTTAACTGCCCAGAGAGCCTTTGGCAGTATAAAAAAAAAATGAATAAGATGCTGTAAATGGAAAAGGCTGAGCTTTCCTGTATCATGTAAAGATGGTGTGTCCCATTACATTATTTAAATGGCATAGAAGATAAGAAACATGAGAACAAACATTCACAACCAGATACACAGTATTTGTTTCCCAGATGTATTTTATTGCTTGATAAACAGACATGCAGATGGATTTTCCTAGATGGCAGAGTGAATTTCTGAATCTTATGGAATAGAAAAATGCGATCACATGTATATATCAAATGCTTCAGCACATTCTAAGTGAAACCTAATGTAACTCCATTGTAAAAAATGGCACAATGGGAACCGGTATGGTAGTCACCCAATTCAAATATGCCGAATTGTGGAGCTAATATGAAATACACTGGTCTTTGATCATTGTAAATATTCGCTGTCGTTCTTTCCTTTTCTTAAATCATTTTCCGTGTTTCTGACTTGTGTTCCAATATTTATGCCTGCTGGCTGAAACAATTCTGAGTCAGGCTTCATTTCGTGGAACCTGTATGTGCCATGTCTCATTTTTCCTGCATCTGGACTGATGGCCTCACCCAGAATGGAGACTGATCCTTTGAGGTAATTTACTTGCTTTCTCCACTCCTTTTGCTTTTAAATTTCTCCCAATTGATCCTCTTTTCTGATTGATTCTAGACTTCTCTACAAGTATGGAAACATATTGGTTTTGGATTACAATAAATTCTAAGCCAAAAAAGTTTTACTTTGCACCAGACATATTTCAAAGAAGGAGGAGCTGCAGGATGAACAGACGATGTTCCATGAAGGAGAGCTCTAGTTTCTAGCCTCTTCTTCAAATAAAGGAGGTTTCCAAATCTGCTATTGCTATTTTTAGGACAAAACTACCTGTGCAGAAGATTACCTCTCAAATTACACAGCAGCCCAAGGAATTGTATCTTTGAATGCATCTATGTGAAAAGTAATACAAGGAAGTCAGCATTAGCCTAGTTCTTCCTCCTTGCTGTTAAACCAGCATACTTCTGCTGAACATGCCGCTCAGCCATTTGAAGAAGACACTCATAGACGGAAAGATCTTGAATGGCCTTCCCCAACCCAGCACTCTCCAAATGTGTAGTACTACAAATTCCACCATTCCCAGCCAGTGGCAGAACTGGAAAGCTGTCTCCTTTGACTGCTTGTGCTGAAGTGAAGAATGCCTTTGTATTACCAACCTGCTAGCCCACAGCATCTTGGCTCCAGTGCACTTCTAAGGGAGATCGCAAGTGGATCTGCTCTGCCATGTCAGAGATGCCTATAGGACAAGGGAATGTTGTTGTTGTTGTTATTAGAACATTTCTATGCCGCCCCTTGCCGAAGCCTCAGGGCGGCTTACAACTCAATACAATACAATACAGTACAATACAATACAATACAATACAATACAGTACAGTACAGTACAAAAATAACCATATAAAATTAAAATTAATAATATAAAATAAATAAAAAATATAAACGATATAAAAGAAGTTATAAAAGAAAAGTAAGAAAAGAAAAGAAGTCGCCCTGGCCAGATAAATAAGTAAATATTGTTAACAATTAAAATGACGTTTAAATAAAAAGGTCTTCACCTGGCGCCGAAAAACAAATATATGGCAGCACGTGGTTAGAATAGCTCACATGAACACAAGCATCCACTGAGAAATTCTAGGCAACTTTGCAGCACTTGACACAGATCCTTAAGTTATAGGAGTAACTTAAGAAGTAGAGGGAAAGAATTTGGCTATGTACAACAACACATCTTTCAAGCCCAAGAAAAGATCAGGTGGCTGCCTCAGAGTTTATTCTGATGTGCCGCTGGGCACATTTCATACTGTTGGAAACAATTTGTGCAATAGAAGCTATGTTTTTGTGCAGCTAGGAATACAAACTTTTATTGGGAGCTCAGTTTCTTAAAAGAAATAGATAAAAAAGTAAAGAAATAGAAGATTAAGCTGACTACCACTTCCCTTATGTCTTCATGAACTTAAGACATACTGTAATTATTACATTGCATTCATATCCATCCCTTCTTTGCAACAAATTCAAGGCAGCTTACGTAGTGCTCCTCCACTCTGTTTTATCCTCACAACAACAGTCCTGTGAGGTCGTTTAGGCTGAGAGTGTGAGCTTTGTGGCCAAATGAAGACTAGAACCCAGATCTTCCAAGTCCC